CTGTTCAGTAAGTAAAATGTATCACCCTGTTCCTTTTTTTTAATCAATTGCTACATCAAGACTGAATTAAGTCAGATAAAATGTGAGGGTAAGCCAAAATATATGGAAGACATACAGCAAACATGTCTCATAACTAGACGTGTATGTATTTGACAGAATGTAAAGCAAGAGCTTATTCTCTCTCCGTCTTGCACCCATGGGTCTCGTCCCTGCCAACATGACTGATAGCCACACTGCAAATCAAGCTGATTCAAAGACATGCTCCTAAATTAGGCAAAATATAGTATTTCCACCACAGGAATGAGTTTATTGGACTTCATCAACTCTTTTACGTGTACTTAGCTCTGTAAGGACTGTTCAGTGGCCTACCGGGAGTCTCTGATTGATATACCATGAAGTTGTTGTAATTAATGGTGAAGTTTCCCCTGGGATAGAGCAAGTTGAAGCTGGGGCAAAGGCAGCAATTAGGAAGAGACGCAGGACCTGTAGGAGCACTCAAGGCCCCCTGAAGCCCCATCAGTCAAACACAGATAAAAGGGTTGAGTGCAAGGGTAATGTTTAACCAAAAGGACGTTGTCAGACGGTCCATAAACGGTTTCCTCTTTCTTCAACCAAGCAGAGAAGTGAAGGAGAGACTATCTCAGGGAGGCTTTAGCTCGTACATAGGTGACATGATTTACAACACCAAAGAACTATATTCAAAAGAGTCCAAATACTGTTTACAAGAATGTGACTTTTTGAAGATGTTTTAAGTTTATTGATTTAAGAAATGTCAGTCTATTCATTTAGAATCAATGGCATTTTAGAGCTTTGTTTTGCCTAGGAAGTTTACTTATGTTTTGTTTGTAAATAGCACTGATCACACAATCAGTAACTGGATAAATCTGAAATCGACTGAATGCTGGTTTGCATTCAATAATAGATCACATACTGTGCATTACTTGCTACAGCAGAAGGAAGGTGTTAAAGAAATCGAACAGAGCAGAAACACTTCCACTGTGTGGTCATGTTGAGCAGATTTATACTCTTGTTTTTGTGATAAGATCAGTAAGATCCTGTAGACAGCCCTCCCTCCTCACCTGCCTGCCTGACTCAACTCTCTCTGAGAATGCCACAGGTGTGAGCCAAGACAAGGAAACCGTTATCAGTGTACACCGCAAAAGGTCAGGGGGCTGGAGATTTTAGTACAGGCTCAATCAATAAACCAAACAGCTGGAAGGCTGAGTTTTTGTCTTTTAATTATCTACTAAAACAGCCCTCACACTGTTATTGATGCTCTCATTTATGCTTTGAAATTAAATATAGAATAAAAACTACGGTTGGTTTATTTATTGTACTTATTGTTTAAAAAGTAGATTGAGTGGTTTCTGTTTCTCACAGTGCCTCTTCTGAATAGAGACCAAAGTATCTGAACACAACTGTCTACTTAACTAATGCATCACTCCTATTCTATAATGCAGAACAAAAAGTAATTAATGTGGTCTAGACAAATACAAAAAAAAACAGAGACATATAGTGGACACATGCATGCATGGTATTCCCTAAACTGTGTTTATTCCAGTGGATCTGTTAAAACCTGTGAGCATGAGATCCCAGATGTGGAAAAAGACAACCCTGTTTCTCTGTTGTGCAGGTGTGTGAACTGAGTCTCACATGGAGTAATCCTCCTGCTTCCCCTTCCCACCTGTGCAGCACACACCACACGGCTGCAGCATACAAGAAAAGAGACTCATGAATCATTAATTGTCATCAATTAATAATGAATCACATCAAACACACAAGATGCAGATGATACCAGCCTCTGCCATTCATTGGCTTGGTGCAAAGGACTTGTCACAAAAATGAAAGCTGTTTAATGTTACTGGAAGGGTTTTGTGGAAGGTTTTCAGTGGGTAACTTCAACAAACATAGCCATGGAGGCTGTGTTTGTTGAAGTTACTGATCTTTATATTAATGTATTTTTAAACTTGCATCATTCAATGAACCAGCTTTTTTGGACATGTTGTCCATAGAAGAAAAGATAAAAGAAGATAATGATATAAGATATAAAAAGAATGCAGCAGTTCATGGTGAAAAGGCCTCTGAAAGACCATTTGGACTATCATATGACAATAAGACTCATATATAGACTCATATAAAACAATAAGACTCTCTACTGCCACACCTTGTAATGGAATGAGGACTGCAAACACTAAAATATGTTATAAATATGATGATGTCATGTAAGCAATACAAATTTAAAGAGTGTAAAACAAGGGGTTATCTCCGCAGCTCAAAAGCTATGACACATTGCCACTAATAGTTTGCTGCATGTGTTTATTTACAACATCTAAGAGGTTCTTTTTTAAATCATGACTCTCATATAAAAGAGATGCCACAACGAAGTCTCACACAGTTATGATTGCAATACAGAACCTACTGCAGAAACACTATCACTACTACTCTATTTGTTAATATGCCGAATGTGACAGTTTAGATGACATTCATGCCACACTGATGCAGGTAACTATTAGTTTGAAAACAGTAAAGGGTTTGTCACCAAGAAAGAAATCATCAAAGATGAGTAAACAAGTAATGATTTTTTAAAAATAAATACATTTATGACATTTTCTGTTTTCAAATTTAATTTACTAAGAGGAAGCATTTGACTTTTGCACTAGAATTGAAATCTAAGATATCATAAACATGGAAGGATAAAATGGCGATATTATTTTGGTCGGTCCATTTTAGTCATGTGTTTGATGAAATGTTTTCATACAGCCAGATATAAACCAAAGATAGCAATGCCAGTCTGTCTCGGAATTGAAACTATATACAGAACACAAATATATATTTACAGATGTACTCACTCACTAATTAAAAAAATCTTAACTTCAACCAGAAACAAATATTAGGAGTTACTTCCTTTCCAAACTCTGCACAATGAATTTTATACCCAGCAGATCAACCCTTATTCTTCACAGGATTCTCTGACTCATGGTGTAGTAAGATATTTTCAGTCTGCCTACATTCTGCTCATCCATCTGCACACACAGATGAGTCTCTGGCGTCCCAGCTCAGCGTCACTATCACTGCAGTGAGTGCTAGAGTTGAAAGTGATCCAGAACGCTATAGCCAAGCTGTGGCTGCTAAGATTATCAGTGGCAGCAACAATGAAAGCTGCCAAGCCCAGACCTCACCATCACTGCTGACAGGCAGTGGAAACACAGTTAAAGCAAACAATGGTCCTCACTGGTCCACCAGCCATGACAAAGTCAACAACCCATGCCAGGACTGTTCTACTGAACATGCTCAGCAGATTTCTGTCTGGATCATATCCTGGCTCAATAAGTCAACCCAGGTCTTTATGTGCATAGTTACTGCACAACTGGTTCCATTAGAAATACAACTGCTCTGATCCTGCTGTAGCCTGGTGCAATTGAATTGTGAATAAGCAATAACTCAACTCTGTTTAAAAAAGAATATTAATTTTGTCTTATGATTTAGGAATTTTAATCTGAAAAGCATGCAATAAGAGAGGGCAATGACATCCAATAACTAGCCATGCAAATATTTGAAATGGGAATTTTTATGGCACTTTTTATGTAGCTGCAGTATATCAACTTACCCTCAATCCAGTTATGTGTGCCCTTCACCTATTTCTGCAATCCCCCCCCACACACACACACAAGGCAGCACTTCACACGCATGCTGCACTTTCTGGCACCTTTCCAAAGATCTGACTGACCAAAGGAGAGAGGCCTCTGTGGGGGGGATTCTCTTTTTTTTTGCTATCTGTGTTTCTGCACCTCTTCAAGATGTATGAATAAAGACTGCTACTAAATGTAATACTTTACAAAGCAAAACATGACACAAGAAATCAGCAAAATATTTAAGAGAATTAAAAGTGGAAATGAGATGTAATTTGTGTGTGTGCTGTTAGTGGACCTTCTAATTCTTATAGGGTTAAACTTTAATGACTAGTTTTTCCAGACATGATTACTGTAGAGGAGGTGAACTAGAAGATAAGCTCAAGAGACTCTGTAGAAGAACCCTGCTAAAGTTGAGTCCAGCAGGGATAAGAACACGATTGCTGAACATCAGAATCAAGAAAATGCCCATACTGTGAAGACAGGCAACCTGCTGCAGCAGAAACTGACTGTATAAATGAAGAGGGCCATCATGTTTGTTTTCTGCAATGTGGGGAATGAAGCCATCTCCCAGCAGACCCAGTCTGCACAAGCTGCAAAAATTGACAAGGTCAGTCTTCAGCTCAAAGTCTCAAATGCAGCTCAAAATGGCTGGAAAACAGATGCAGATTACTTGCAGATACATTTTTAGGTGTACAGAAAGTAAAATCTCAAAACCATATTTATTTTTATTTATTTATTATTGCTTTAATTATTTGAATGACAAAAGAAATCAATATATTTCAATCATAACATCACATACTCTATTCTAAATATATATCCATTCACCCTCTGTGCATTTACCCATCTATACATCCATCCTTATATCAGACAATGCATGCAGTCAAGAGCTTTAGGCTCAGCTGAGCTTCCAGTACTGCAAACTTGTACTTTCCTGATAACGTTGTAGCGTGTGGCACCATGTCACATACTGTTAGTCTTATAGAAAGCCACATGGACCCACAGTGCCTGGGGCCAAACTGGCGCCATCCACTTCCTGGGCACAGGCAATCATGATCATTCCAGCTCTATTTATAACCTCTTATTATGGTGGACTGTTTTCAAATGAGGCTGAAAAGATAAGACAGCAATGGGAAAAGGCCACACTGTCCAGAGGGGGTTTACCCATAGACATATATGTAAAATGTGGCTGTTATGTGTAGCAGGAAGAAAATGTTTGCAATTTTGTAGGGAAATAAACTAAAATAGAAATTTTTTTCTCACAGCCTGGGACAGACAACCCGAGGAGGAAACATTAAATCCCAACATAATACTCAGTGAGTATTATGCGGTCCCTTTAAGAGATCCAAAACAGTCATTTACTTCCTGTATGTTAGCACTAGCGTTAATCTACTAGCTAGAGTCAAGTGAATGCCTTGTAAATATAGCGTTAAATAAAAGTGTTGCTGACATTATGAAGGAGACTGTGACGGTGTCATAAAGGTGTTTTTAATTTTGACCACGTGTTTCGCGGTAACGTTATGGCAGGAAGAAAAAGAAAGATGGTAGCAGCAGCGTCTGAACAAACTGTAAATAAACACAAAAGCAGGACTGATTTGAAACTGAATGCTGAGACGGAGCGAAGCCATTATTTCACCAAGAATAGTCAGCAACATAGACTGGGAGAAGAGTTTTTCAACCAATCCTGCCTCAGTTTGTCTAAAGCATTCCTAGGCAAGGTAATGGTGCCATTTCACATTAATTTCACATCCATGTATGCTGTGGGAATGATTTCTGAAAGCCAGCTCTGTAGAGGGGATATGCTCGAAATAAAATGTATGTCAGTAATGTTAGAGCTCAAATTTCCGATAACGATAATAGTATTCACGAAAGCTTTTGTCCAGTCTGTCAACACCTTTATCTGTAAAAGCTACAAGGATTTGAGACAGCCTTATCTGAAAGTCTTGCCCCTTTACATTTTATGCAAGAATTTCATTAAGTAACCTGTTACTTAAGTCTACTCGATCCTTCATTGTAACACTTAGTATTTCAGTTTATTACACTCAGCTACAGACTTACTTCAACCTACATGGTTTGCTAAATCCAAAATCACAATAAAATGCATCTAGACTACTCGCCTTAAATGTAGAGCTGCAGCTAAAGATTATTGTCATTAATAACCAGTTAATCGTATGGTCTATTAAGTAAAATGTGAAATAATACTATTACAAGTTTCCAGAGTCCATGGTTCAATTGTTTGGTCTGGGTCCATAATCAAAACAATATCACAGAAGACTTGAAATGTTAATTTTTGCCATTTTGGCATTATCGATTATTAAAATTGTCTGTTGATTGACTACGAAATGAATTGGTTTATCATAATAAAACATAATCAGTCTTGTTCTTTGTCCCTGCAGGTGTTGGTCCGCAGGTGTGCAGATGGCACGGAGCTGCGAGGGAGAATAGTGGAAACTGAAGCGTACCTTGGTGGGGAGGACAAGGCCTCACACTCAGCAGGGGGAAAACGCACTGAGAGGAACACAGCCATGTTCATGAAGCCTGGCACAATCTATGTGTATCCCATCTATGGCATCTACCTCTGTATGAACGTGTCTAGTGAAGGTAAAAGTATTACTCACCCAAGGTATTTATTATGATTGCCATTTTGCCTGCTGATGCATGCAAACAGAAAAATCCCTCCTCCAAGTATTTGTCATTAATACAACATTTAATCTATACAGTGGTGTTTTCTATTGTCACTGAGTAAAGGGCAAAAGGAAGGAGACAGAGTGGAGCCTTGCTGACTGATGCATATTGTATGCTGTTTTTCACAGGGGAGGGTGCTGCCGTGCTGCTGCGCTCCCTTGAGCCCCTGCAGGGTCAGCCTGTCATGAGGCAGCTGAGGGCAGCTAGACGCAAGGAGGGAGCCCGACAACTGAAGGACAAAGAGCTCTGCAATGGGCCTTCGAAGCTGTGCCAGGCTCTAGATATACCCCGCTGTTTTGACCGTCGAGACCTAGCTTCAGACCCAGAGGTGTGGCTAGAGAGAGACCACAAGACAAATCCGGCAGAACCCCACAATATTGTATCAGCACCGCGCATTGGAATAGAGTCTCATGGGGAATGGGCCAAGAAGCCATGGCGGTTTTATCTTCGTGGGCACCCCTGTGTTAGTGTGGTGAATAAAGAGGCAGAAAGACAGACTCTGTCTGGAAATGTAATGAACGATTTAGGTCCCTCAGATGTGCAGTCCGACACAGGACAGCACAATGTCAAAAGGACTTAACAGGAATATTCCTGCAACTAATCTGCCATCTGTTCCCTTTGTGGACTTCACTGTTTAGGCAGTATAAAACTTTTCTGTTTGCTTTGCAAAGTTTACACTAATTCTTATGGATATGAAATTAATATTTTTTAAGTAATTCCATTAATAATGTTGTTCTTGGAAAGTCAAGATGGTAGAATAACCTCTGTGATTGGCTGAAAGTCTAAATTCTAATCAGCATAAATTATACATGTTTCTCATCCATTTGTAAGCTGCTACTTATGTTGACAGTGTGTTTAGGATACTGATGCAAAGTTGTACTGGAAAGTAATGGAACTTAAGTCAGTTAGAGTAAGACTCAATTTTCAGTGCTTATCAAAAAATCAGTTCTGAAATCTACCATTACTCACTTATGAGTTGTTTTTTTTGTTTAGGTCTTCTATCTGTGTTTTTTTAATAAACATTCATACTTGAAAAACTTTCTTTTGAGTGACTCAGTGATTTCACAGATGTTTGGAACGCTTTGCTTCCACCAAAGCAAAAACCGCCTGTCTGATGTTTAGTCTTCCCTTTCTTGCCGTCTTTCTCTTCCCACCTCTGGGATTCCTGAGGAGAGGTAGCTGGAGGTCTGGAATGATCATTACTCTGTGTGCCCCTCTGTGGTCAGTACAGATGATCTAACACATCTGGGACAGGGGAAGATGAAGTTAAACCCCCACTGCACCAATCTTTGCAATATACAGAGCGAACACTTCAGGCATGTACAAAATAATTTAATATTGTAAACAAACATTGGCTTGTCAAAGAAAAAAAACATTTTGTAAATCTGTACACATAGATGCAATCATTGCATCAGTTCATTTAAAAAGAACATTGTTGAGCAATAGCACTTAGCTGTGAGCACAGCAAGCTATTAACTGCTCTCAAACTGACATCTTTTCCAGTTGGTGAGAGCTGATAGTGTCTCTGTGCCACTACTCCGTGGGTGACTGAAAGATTGAAATAATGGGATCCTCATGGTTGGTCACCACTAGGACACTGCGGAACTTGTCAAACAGTGTCTTGAGCTGCGAGCGCCTCATGTTCTCATTATACATAATCTCTTCCAGGTGGTGATGTCCCCGGAAATAGTGAAGCAGCCTGGAAGAAGTCAACATAACAGGAAGAAAAATGGGTTGAGAGCTAGAGTTTCACAGAATCATTAGGGTGGTCATTAGCTGTGTAAACCAACCATCAGGCAGGTCTTTTGCAACTCTGATAACATTTTTCATTAATGTTCATTAGGTAACACACAACACTGATTACCAGATACGCTTTCTATTTATTTTCTATTTTCAATGTGTGCAACTAACAGCTGGCAACATCTTGTCTCCAAGAAGTCTCCAGATAACTTTTCAATTACATTTCCCAATATTCTGTGAATGCAATTAAAATGACTTCATTTTCCAAACCAATGCACAAATATCTTCTTATTTCCTAAGAGACTTGATTTATAACATCATGAGGCACTAAAATGTATCGCAGCTGTTAAGTCGCCTTTAGAGATTTTTGTTAATTTCAAGTCACACTTTGTCATGCCATCATCTCACTTGAAAATGCAGCAAAACCATAAACAAGCTTTAGTCATATTTTTTGCATCCCACAAACTTATTTTTTGTTTGGGTTGTGTGTGTATGTGCATGTTTTTTTCATGAACTTTATTTTTTAAAAATAGTTTACGAAATGATGCACAGGCCAGTTTATTCTGCATCATTTCAATATAGAGCTAGGAAACATTTAATGCACTAACAAAAAAAATCTGAATATGCACTAAGCTTCTGTTTTACGCAAGCTTGATTACCTGGCAAACATCCGTAGATCCTCTGGATTTTGTGCAGCGGGGATGTTAAGAATAACCTGCCTCTCATGCTCGGACAGGCTGGCAAGCAGCGTCTCTGTCATCCTCTTGTTAAGCGGAGAGTCCCCACCAGGCAATAGCTCTGCACTGGAGTTGTCCATACTGGGACTGGTGAGGGTCATGTCATCACTACTGGCTATACACAGGAAGCAGACAGATGATCACAGATTATCTTTTATCCTGTTCTACCTCTAAGAGTTGGGCAGAGGAGAGAGCTGAGTGACAACGTACTTGGCGAACCAAAGCTGAGTGCGCTAGGGGTGCTGAGACTACGGCCTCCAACTCGGGCAGCCAGTGGTGGGTCTTCATCCTTCAACCCGGGTTCATCCTCGCTGGGCGGTACCAACAGGCAGACATAAGTGTGCAGCTGGATCAACAGGCGGCGCTGGAGCATCCACACTACCATCTGGATCAACTGGGCCTGGTGAGGAGCAGAGCAGTAAACTCATCACAACTAAGCACAGAATAAACAACCAGGCCAAATATGTTTTAAATCAACTGTGGGAAGCATACAAGCTCAAAATAGAGCCAAGAGAAAGAGCCACAGCTCTGATCTTGTTCTCATGAAAAATTGAGGAAGCTGACGGTAGAGCTGATGTCCCTTTTGCCATTTATAATTCATCACCAACCCTCAAACAGCTCTGCCAAAACAAAACGGACCGAAGGGGAACACCAGATGGTTCTGCTCTTACAATACAGTATCTAAATTTACAGTAATAGCCCTACTTATACTAGTGATTTACCACAAAACCATAATTTCACTTTTGATTACTTTTAATTTGTACAAAAATGTCTTGTAATGCCACAGTCAATTATTCTTCCTTGTAAAAATTATATATATTAAAAGAAAACTCTTTTTCAAAAATAGAAAATAATTTCACCAATATAAAAAAACACAAGAAAATAAAGTGGACAAAAAAAAAAAAAATTGTACTTGTACAATAGTCCTACCTCCTGTGCAGGAGCTTCTAGAGGATTTCTGAACTCAGCCAGTGAGACAGGGAGTGAGAACTTGGCTAACATGGAGGGCAGATCATGACCAGGAAACTGCTGGGCAAACTGATCAGCCAATGGTGAATATCTATCCAGAGAGAGATGGGACACATTATTTGACAACCGAGAACTTTTCCAGCTTTTTTGAAGTTATTTTCCACAATGTCGTAAACGAAGGGCTATGAAAAGCTCTGCCAATGGCCCGATCCAATCCAAGAAATTTTAGGAATGAACTCTGAACAAGTACAGGCTTTGGAAATCTGAATGTAATATTTTTTTACCTACTGTATATGAAGCAATGACATGGATGGGTGCTCTGCAATATTATGGCTCATTAGCTCTATAGTTAACAGTACAGCCAAATGGCTCATGTCATATCAGGAATACTCACAGGCAGATGTTGGCATGAGGAGACAGCATGTAGACGTTGTTCTCACACAGTGGATAGATGATGATCGCTTTGCCCCAGTAAACCAAGTGAGCAGCAATTTGAAATATCTAAGAGGAAAATATATTGGAAATAATATAAATTATGTGAAACAAAACTAATTAAACAATAAAGTATTTTGGAATTGAAAATCAACTGTAGAAGGAAGATATAAGAGCATCCTATACTAGTCAGACCTGTGTAGTCTCAGAATGCTGCTTTGCTTTGAATGTACAAATATTGTCCACTAGATGGCAGTGAGACCCCATTAACGCAGTAACCTCTGAATACACTTTTACTTACCTAATTTATGTTTGTGTACTGTATTTAAATTACAAGTCCTTCAAAATACAATACAATCACCAAACTCTTGTCTCATCTCTAGTGATGGCTGAAATTAGCTTAATCATTATATCCACTTGTGAATTAATTTGTTTAATAATGAAAAAGTACTTTAAATTTGCCTTTCAAGTTCAAAGAATGGCATCAGGTGTTGTAAAGTGCAGTGGTGATTCAGGCGATGTGACTGTTCTGCACCTGAAGTAAGGCCAGGTCAGCATCCTGTGCGAGTTGCTGCAGGTTTTTCACCGCTGAGCAGGTTTTGATGAGGCGCACCATCGCAGGCGAGCAGTCCAGAGGAAGCTGGCTCAGCAGTGCCTTCTCACTTTCCAGTAGCAGTAGGGAATGATAGGGTCTGGAGGATCAAATAACATATGTTTCAGCCTCTGAATCAACAAAACTCATCTTTAGAGATCAAAACTGCCTCCACAATAGACACCAGAAGAATCAGCCCTAGTACTACCCTGTAAAACCTGTAAACCATCTATACATGTATCCATGTACAGAACTGTGTGTCTCTGAGGACACAAACCACTCTGATTAATAAAAAATAATTATCAACACAGCTGTTACAATTTCATGACTTACATGACCCTTTGCATATTTTGTTCATCTTCAAAAGACAGAATTTAAAGGAGAGGTAGGGGTTGATCGCAACTCTTATGTAGGTATACTGAAGTGACAATAGGTGGCAGTATGGCCCACAGAAAACATTTCATGGTTTCTTGATGTTTTAAATAGTGACTCAGTACTGAAGTTTACAAAATACACAGCCCTTAATCAGCAGTTAAAGACATAATACTCACAATATAATACTGTTAAAGACTGTCTGTTTTTAGGCTTCTTGTTAACCTGTGGGTCAACAATGAACCTAACAACACAGATTGAATAGCACTGTGACAATCCTGTGCTACTTAATAGTCATGTATACTGTATGCCTATGCAGGCTGGTTGAGTAAATAAAAGCGTATGTGTGTTATTTTTCCTCAACCAGGTGGATGATATATGACATTCTACCTACCATTTGCAGTTTTGCATGACTTGCCAAGTCAGATTAACACATTAACACATTAACACTATGCTGCTTTTAGATTCCATTCACAATTAAGGGAAGTATAAATGAACACTATAAATCAGGGTAAATAAGAGGTGGTCAAAATTTTCTTTTATTCCCAAGAGATGTTGTATTTGTGGGCAGAAAAGAAGGAAACTATATTAACTAATAGTAAATGTTATACATTTCTTACATAGTAAATTAAGATTTATAAGCAATTTTATATTATTTTATGTAATATTTATATGTAATATCTTAATATAATTTTAAATACTGTATACTATTTTAAAATGGTAATTTTACCATTTTATATCTGTAATAACACTTGAGATAACACTCCCTTCATGTGTTTATGCTTTGAGAAGGCTGCCAAGTATCTTTCACAGTCACTGCTGATTGGGGTGTTGCCAAAAGTGTAAATTTAAAAGTTTCAACCCACATAGAACAGTCTGTTCTGTGTGATTTACGGTAAACAAGTTACTATTGTGGTATACTGCAAGTCAAACAAAATGTTATATTTAACACATACATATATATATATATATATACCGTACACATAAAGGTAAAAACACACCTTATAGCCTTAAGGCTGCGCTCTAATGCCTCTGGGGGGATATAGTTGCCACCAATCCTGTGGATCTTGTGTGGTAAACAGAAGCTCACTTCAAGCCAGTTGTTAATATGTAGTCGCACCACACCAGTTGTACAAAGGCTGAAAAAACATAAATGTTTAACTGTATGAACAATATGCATTCTGCATGATAAGAAAGATATGTAAATAACAAAACAAAAAAAACAATATATAATGTGTTTAGTCACATACCTGTCATAACCCTCCTTCAGGTCTCTAGCCAGCTTACATTTGGGAAGAATTTGTCTAAATGGTGACTGGGGGCTTCCATCCGCTTAAATCAGGAAAAATATACAAGAATTTACTTTCAAAACAAAACTATAATACATCATTACAATGTTAGTGTACTGACAAACTCAATAATATGTTCAAGAATAAATATGTCATTGTGTACAATGGATTCTATGGAATCCTATAGACTGACTGAGACAGAGCAGTAAATTGCTGTCAACTGTGAGGTGCAACAAATTTCTTTCTTACTCTCAGTCATGGTAGTAATCTCATCCTGGACGGCCAGCATCAGTTTGGCCTCTCTGGTCAGGTACTGGCAGCGCCGCTCCTCATGCTGCAGAGCTATTGCAATGCGGCGGGACAGGTTGTGCATGCAGCTGATGACGGACGGGTCAGCATTCGCCTGTATGGGCAAAAGAGGAACGGGAGCCACTTTTTAAACTGTGTAACTTTGACAGAAATAGGCTAGTAATACATATACAACTCAGTTATTACCCATTACACTGCATTTACACCATCAGTGTTTGTCGTGACAATTTGTCGTTCAGTTAATGTTCATGTCATTACTGGCCTGTTAACCGGTAAACTATCTAACATATATGGCCTTTAATATTTAAATTATTTTTGAGCCCCTTTATTTAACTATATATTTCAGAGTTCATCAGTTTTACCTGAAAAATCTTCTGAAAAAAATCTTCACTTCCTATGGTGTAATCCAATCGAATAAACCTGTAATAAATCCAATCACTGTAAAGTATATTGTTCAGTTTTTATTGAGTTTGTGGTTTTGCCTCATCTCAGTGGTATTTCTGAAGCTTAATGGTGGTGTTACTTTGTACTGAGAGGAGTTTCTAATATTCTGTTTTACTCAGGTATGTTAATAAGGGTGGTCATTGGCATCATCCCATGGCATTGTTAACTAGATCAATTGCTTTAATTTTCTTGCAAAGTAGATATAAAAACAAAAATACAAAGCGTATCTGTATAAATGAACATGTAGAATAACATACATAATTTACTGGTGAACAAATGTGAATTGTGAATTCATTAAAAATGGAATGGTTAAATCTTGTGAAATTAATTGTAAAATACACAAAAATTACCCAATTGCATATACACTGACATACTAAAATAACCAAATGGAACTGTTATTCTTGTCAAAAAAATGTCTGCAGTAAAGATAACACAGTTACTGGGCAGATATCATTGACAAAACATGACTGAGCATTTTTTGCCTCATCTCAGCTATACTGGGACTTACTGGGTACAGTGACTCAGCATGGGCAGGAACAGGCTGTGCCTAGTTGACCAGCATGATTAAGCATAGTAAAATGGCCCTTCCCCCTCTGAGTTCCTATGCTCTCACAGATAGAGTATACTGGAATATTATCACTTACACACACCCTTCTTCAAAGAACACACAGATTAACAGAACGCAACGCGTCCCACCCACTGCCAGCTGACTTTATTGTGCCATCATTTAAAATAAAGAGGTTAATTTGTAATATTAAAATGACCATTTATATGCAGCATTTTTCAACTGGTAGAGCAAAAAGCAGAACAAAATAAAACAAAAAAAATAAAATCGTATTATAAAAAGTTCATACCCTTAGGGCAAACACCACATTAAACAATATCATTGTAGGCATTTCTCTCTTAGGTGAAGGATCTGTCTTAGAAACCTGCATAAAAAGAAAAAATGTTTTTTTAAAGGTTTGCATGTAATAAACAAAGTGTTTACAAATACATGAAAAAAATGTAGATCCACAGTGTGTAGATCTAGAGCAGTTAAATTCACATATATTACACAAAAGCACAATAAAAGCTGCAGCAGCAAAATGTTATACAACCTAGCACAATAGTTCTGCAATAAATTAACCTTTGTCAAACCTGAAAAATGTTTTTTCTGAGAATTTCTCAAAGAAGAGTTGATTGAGCTAAATGGTAATTTTTAAGTCATGTACAGTAGGTGCTGTTGTATTACAGAAAAATTTAAACTGTTTCTGTTATTTTCATAGAAGCACTTTATAATTACTTCACACTTTATTATTAATTACACTATATTATACCAGAATTACGGTAGATTTTTGCCCTACCTGAGGTTTCTTACATCTTACCCATTAATGGGAGTTGTTCCTCAACCAAGTTGAGAGTCTAAGTATAGAGGATTACTGTGCAGATTGTCAAAACCCTTGAGGCAATTTTTTATGTGTGATAAAGGGATATTTAAAATGTATTTGCCTTGACTTTGCTAAGCTTTGTTGATCTTGTTCTGGTGAAATAAATTTTAAAAAAGCAGATAATAAGATAATGCATCCAGCCACAGCTGTTGACAGTGCAGAAGCATAGAAGACCATCAGTAGGAGGCACTGTTTTAGTCAAAACTAATCTGCCAAAGTTCAAAGATTACATACATTTAGAGGGCCTTGGGACAATGAGAAATGGCCTTACAGCCAGATGGCAAGACACATCAATATTATGATGATAACAATACAATTCAAAATGGCACTGTTAACCTTTTAATTGATATAAAAAAACTGCATAACATTTCCTCTCACAATTACTGGAAGTTCAATTCAAATCGAAAATGACTTTTAATAGGAGACATTTTATCCTTGCCTGAATGATGGGAGGATGCTGAAGAAGAGTAGGGTGACCCACAAATCGAACATTGTCTATCTTCAGTTCAAACTTCTTCCCACACATGTCAGATTTGGTGGCCAGGATGGTGGCAAGGATGATGTCAGAGAACCTTTAAGAAGGAAGAACAGACTCAATTGGAAAAGTGTGCAAGATGAGAGGTTACAGCACAGAAACAGCTGGAACATGTAAGAGGGTTTAAATTAGCTCTGTTTGTTTACATTTTTTACATTCCTCTCTATAGGAGTGGTTGCGTTAATCAGATGCATCTGCCTGTAAAGTAATTCAAAAATGAGAGTATAAATAAAATAGGCTTGTGTGGCTACTGGAGAGGAGAAAAGAGAAAGAGGCCTTCTTGCAGAAACAGTGAAGTCGCTGTATGAATGAAGAATGTGAAAGACTCATGCTGGTTTGACTTAAGTAACTCATGCTGCAATCAAAGGGATAAAAATCAAGACGTTACCTTCGAGAAAAAAATTACACACATTATAGACTTACCCCACCGACACAATTTGAAAACGATGTGTAGTAGCTACTTTATTGTAGTTTGCATTTGATTTGCAATTTGTTTTGTAATGCTGAGTCTACATGCTAGAGGTAATATAATCAATGTGAATTAAAACTGTAATTATAGTTTAAAACTGTTGGATTTTTTATTGTTCATAAAGGCATACAATACAGGAGAGCAAAACTGAAATTCTGAATTAACCAAAGCACTGATTCACTGGATCTGCTACTGATAATTTACAAGGATTTTACTGAAATTAGGGTTGGGGATCCATATAGGACACAAAATAGGAAAGAAGGGGATAAAAAAAGACAGGGGTGATCTAAGCGAAGGAAAGGTGGTTTAGAATGATTTGGTCTTACCCTGCTACCAACTGTTCGTCAGTTAGTGGAGATTGTTCTCTGAAATGGGAATTGGGCCATAAAAAAGAAGAAAAAAGCAAACAAAAAGGAAAATGCAACACACAGTTGGGCTGAATGCATAAAATGGACATCAAAACAACCCGAACAAACATGTGATACTATGATGTAAAAATGCTGGTCTGCAGGTTGATTCAAACAAATTGACTGAGCCTTAATGTCATTAACATTATAGCCACATGAGCTTAAATGCCAGCTTAAAACTGTCCTAAAAACAACTAAAATTGTTAACATTACTCAAAAAGATACTGTGAAACTATTTTACGCAATCACTCACAATGAGCAACTTGACCCTTTATCGGGTGAGGAACCATATATGGTCACTTCCTTATGGCGGTTTTAATTACACTTCTATGGCATATTTTGGTGGGTTTTTTTTTCAATGTGAGGTTACGGGTATAGCTAACTATACACTTCAGTGTTACGGCTTTCTTCAGCAAAAAGAAGCTCGCAACGTGCGCGCGTCTCTCTGATCTGTGATTTGCTTATGCCTCTGGGTTTAGTGTACATACTGTGGTTCAGCGGCGCCGCGCTGGGCCCGGGTAGCTGGAGTTGATGTGACGTATTTCGTTTGCAGCAGTGTCTGGCCTCAGGCCTTCTGATGGGAAGAGGAGGCCTGCTGTGCCACAGATTGTTGTTGTGTCAGCCCACCTAGACATCATTGACTTTTTTCAGCCTAAAACTGAACTTTAAAAAAAAAAATCAAAACAGAAAAAATGTCTTCTTATATCTACCAATAACACTCCAGGGTTGAAATTTAAAATTCTTAATTCAATGAGTGCGTTATACTACTAGGGTTAAATACTACAAAACACTTTATACTGCTCTTGGCTTAGCTGGCTTCAAACTGTTCAAAATGCTGCTATCAGGTTGTTAACCAAGGCAAAAATGACAGGCTACAGAACACCTAACTTATATTAATTAATTATTCAATGGTTATAAGGCTCTGTTGTACTGCGTATGATGAAGGTCATAGACTGCATTTTAAAGAAAGTTAAACTGGAGTACATAGTACAAAGTCTGTTTGTAGTGGAGTCCATATGGAAAAACTGAGCAAAAGAAAAAAAAAAGATTCCATGATCTTGTGTCAGTTTTATCTGATTACTTTTTTAAGTAATCTTGAGTTGCATTGATAAAAGAGTTTAAATGATCATTTGTGGCTGCCTCTTACGACCCTGTGACCAAAGTAATATCACCACCCACCCAACTGACCAGCATTACCATCCATAAAGTTGCAGCATGATGAAAACTGAATGCTGTTGGAAAATAACAAACAAGACTGAAAGGTTCTGTCTGACATTTTTGTATTTTTCAGAAACAGACATCAATATCTTCGAGAGTGCAAACGGTAGGAGTTCAAGTTGTTTGCCGATTCTGTTCATGTTTCCTACAACTTTTGCCAGAGTGACTGCTCAACTCAAAATCATGAATAGCTAGATCTTTGTCAGTATATCTTCATTTGCATATATTTTTTTTAGCTTAAACTCACACAGCTTGTGCAGGAAATATTCAACTTTGAATTTTATATTATACAGTAGTTGGTTCAATATCTATAACACACTTACCAGTTTAAAGGTTTGAGGCTGTTTTTTAATTATATTTATTCTCATGTGGCTCACCGCCAGGACAGTTTATACCATAAACAGAGAGTATAGTATACAATAATATATAATATTATTTAGTGATTATGGATTGATCTGAATACTACTCAATTTAACAATTGTTATATCTGCTGCGTTCGTGTACAGCAGTTTCCCCATTTCTTTCTTTACTCAGTGGATTAACAAGTCATCCCCTCTTTTTTCATGTCTTAGCTTGTGTAAAACCTTGAAATGATGCAGCACTGCCACTATCCTATTTTTGTATCAATGGCCAATTTTATTTGTAATATTACTATTTTCTACGATTGAGCTTACAAAAAGTGTGTGCATTGTATAAACTTGTTTATTTAACGCATGTATAAATCTGTCTCCATTTTCTCACTACCGGAGATAACAAAAATAAGGTAATCGGAACTGGTTTAAATGCTTGTTTTTATTACCAGTTCAGATAAGCAAACGGCAGCTGGGAATACGACAAATCTGAAGACACACATGGTGAGCATTTAGTCTTCTAAGGTAATTTTGAGGACATTAATCAAACAAACTTTTAACACTCCACAATTCCTCTTGAAAAATACAATGAGGTTTTTGAAAACATAAAATATGGGACACAGGGAGGAAACACATGAGAGTGAGTGGCTCATGCTGATCTAAGAATTGTCTGTGTGTCCACCTAGAGTCAACTTCCCTGTAATTCATTTATAAATCCAGTAATATTAAATGAAGACAACAACACAATACCTTGAATCACCATCCTGATCTTCAAGACCATCCCCGGTTGCGTTCAGTGCATAAGGACTTCGTTGTTTAGCTTGTGGACAGAAATAATAGTATTAGTTCACTTGATTATTGATGCCAATTAGTAAAAATACATTAATTTGAGATGTATCCCCATTAAAAGCCAACAAGATGTTAAAACAACACTCTGAATATCAAACATGTATTAGAGAAGTGTTGTGTTACTGTATGAAGCATAGTTTGTTGTTATTATGGGTATTTTTCTCTTAGTAAGGGTCTACTTGTGAGTGACATGTCATTTTTGATCTATTTTTGCCATTTTAGACATATGCCAATATACCCCATAGTATATTGGCATGAAAGCTAACATATGAAGGTTATACAAAAGTAATACGTCAGAAATCCTGCTAGTTTGTATCCAGTTAGTGCGACTGTCTCTGCAGCTGGGTTTCACAGCAGGGTGTAGCCCAATCACAGTTACATCCAATACATTTACATTTATCACACTAAGCTCAAACATTCCCAATGACAAATGCAATGCAAAAAAAGAAACAGGAAAACTGTTTTTCAGAAAGAGGAACAGCTGTGGCGTTGTAGGAGAACCATATATTGCCAGGCTGCTGTATTGGACTGCATCACATTGGGGGTGTTTGTAATTGTATCCAGCTGTGTATGTGTAATTACGAGAAAGTGAGACCTCAGGGCACGGGTTTCCCTTGAGTAAAGGTCAACAAACATCAGTGCTGTACTGTGATTCGCTGGTGAATGCTAACTTAGTGCTACGCCTACCTGTAAGAGATGACGGACATTCAGCCACTCTTTGGAAAGGGTATCGAAAAAGTAGCTTGTGTCCTCGGCTGCCAGAGCTAACCAGTATGACGCTAATAGGGCTTGTTTTGTCTCCAGTTTTGTACACGCTGTTTTGTGACTGGCTGTACATGGATTTTCGGTCATCTGGTAACCCGGCTAAAGGGTTGAACATCATGTTAGCATTGTAGCTAACGTTACGTTAGCTGCCCCGTGATCTGTAGCTACGACCAAGCAGCGTACTTCAGCTTGTTGCGGGCGAAGCTCGTATTAATGTATGCCATACACACATACCACCGACCCTGCACCAATTACAGGCTCACTTGTTTTAATGTGGAGGCCTGGCGATTTAGTACTCCCAACCTCACATCCGTGTACTGTTGCGATTGTTTTGTGTCACTGCAAAAAATGTTCGGCAGGAACAGGAACCGTGGCTAAAAGATTTCCGCTTGCTTCAGCAAACCAGTGCTTTCGTACCAGTTATGATTCTACAAGGGTCTAACCAAGTTATAGACATTGGATGAGTCCAAATGACAGCACTCCACCAGAAAAGCATTTCCTACAACGATGAATTAAAATGCGCACATATAGAACATTTTGATGACTACACTGACATTTGTTTTGATGTTTTGTTGTTCTGTTGTTTATAAGGGATTAACGCTGTTGGCAGAAGAGCAGCTCTAGTCCTGTCCCAAATACTATAATGTTTTGTCTTTTTTCCTGATTTGAATAAGTTGCAAAACTGGTGGCTTTTAAGAAATACAGTTTTTAAAGAGGATCTAAAAAGTTGGCCACACTGAACCAACCATAGACATATTGACAAGGAGGACATGTTTAACAAATTTTCTACTGTACTGACAGACTGGACACATTCCCCTCAAATAATGCATGGTTACGCCCTAGTCTATCTTGATTAATCTATTTTATGAATGTAATTACATAGTTATACAACCATTGCTGCAACATTGTATCACAGCTTTTTTTAAAGGTGCTACATAAATTAAGTTATTGTTATTAAAAAGTAATGTGTAACCTACATAAGAGAGAGATATCATAAAGCGTCATGTAACGTAGGCTACACAAATAATCTATAAATATCCAACAGGTTAAAAAGATGATTCTAATGTATGATTACATCTAACAAATTCCAAATTACTATTGTTATTCACACACTACCATTAGTGTATTTCACACTTTTGCAATCAAATGGATCTTCAATTCAAATGTGCTCTTTTTATTTCTGTTTAAAATGACCTAAAAAATAACTTCATCATTAACCCTTTCTGATAAATACTTTCTATGTTACATTATATCCCCTAGGCATTAGCATTTAGCTGATTGTGGAAGCATATTGTATGATTTATGCGTAAGTTGTTGTTTTTTAATATATATATTTTATTACATAAATAAACTAATCAGGACTATCCACTTTACGTCATAACTCAAGGGTACCCAGCGTCACTCATTTAATTCTTGAAATTAATAATTGTAAATGTCAATAAAAGTCTAATAGTGGAACTCATGTTTAGTCAGTACACTTGTGTGCACACTGCTGGAATTAAAATACAGTAAAATAAAATAAGCCTATACCGGTATATACTTGTACGTACCTTGAATTAAAAATTCCCATCCCAGCAATGTTTCAATAAACTGTTCAGTCATAAGTGGCAGCACTGCCGACGACATTTCTCGCCTGCATTGATACAGATTTTGGTGCCTGCTTATCATTAATTTCAGATGACCACACCCATTGTATACATAACTGCACAAAAAATAACCAAAAAACATCCAGAAGTAATTCCTTCTTAAAGATGAGTCAAATAAGATAATTTACCACTGAAGCCACTCAATTATCAGGTGTGTCTCTAAAACCTAAAACCGCCTGACCCTTGAGAATTAAAATAAGATTAAATAGAGTTTTACAGACCAATACACCACCACACAACAGGAGACGTTTGATTTAAATTTTAATTGGCTGCTTTTGGCAAACAGCTCCAACGCCACTGCAAATGAGACATTTGCTAACGCTTGTAGAACTGCGCAACCCAATTGTTCATGAATGTAACTTTCACGTCCAGAATCCTCAGGGTAACGTGTTATGCCCAGAGCCCAAGACAACCAGCAGGCCCAGGCCAAACTTCTGCCAGCGCCTCTTGGACTCCCCAGGGGTGAACTGACGTCCAAACTTGGGCCAAGCCACAACACACACTGATGCCATTCAAGCAAGGAGCTAAAATGAGGAAGAATACGGTTTTGCAAGAGAGATCAGTGCCATAGCTTAGAAGAATGGAGATGTAAGAGTCATTCGCCGAAGTGGGCGGTCTGATGTTACGCATACGCCTCTGAAAGTTATCGGATCCCACATGGATTGGGTTCTCCAGAGTGCAATCACGCTCCCCAGCTGGTATCCAGGACCGTGCCTTGCCGATGTCATCCCCATTTCTTCACAGGCCTGTCCAGCCCAACCCATCAACTGCTTACCGGCTCGGCCAATTTAGGGTTTCCCGAGGATGGCGGCAATTGGTGGAGGAGGTTGCCCG